GGGAGGTCCGTTCTGTTAGTCACAGAGGCCTGAGCTATTGGATACCCAGGGAGCCCTGGTGGCACAGTGGTTAAAATGATCAGCTGCTGACCAAAAGGTTGGCGGTTTGAACCCACAAGCCACTCTGCGGGAGAAAAGTGTGGCAGTCTGCCTCCGTAAAGCCTTGGAAACCCTATGAGGCAGTTCTCCTCAGTCCTATAGGGTCATTATGGGTCAGAATTGACTCCGCAACAGTGGGTTTGTTTCGGTTTCATGCATCTCATTGTTGATTTGTTGATTCTTGCCGGTCTGCAGTTCCCCACTGCCCTTCTCTGCTCCTGATTCAGAGTCCCTCAAGGTCAAGCATTGTTTCCTTATACTTCTTGTTGTATTTGTTGGGGGAGGGTCGGAATGATGGTCTATTTGTGCCACTATCTTGCCAGGATCCCTCCTCCATAGGGTTTCAATGGCTCATTTTTCAGAAGCAGATCATCAGGCCTTTCTTCCAAGGTAGCTGTGGGTGAACTCAAATCTCCAACCTTTCAGTTAGCAGACAAGTGTGTTAACCATTTGCACCTTCCAGGGACTCCTTAAATGTCTAGAATTGAACTTTTTTCATTTTTGTAGGAAGGTTTTATTGGACTTTAAATATTAACTATATTCCATTGTTTCATTTTTCTTCCTCAGGGATTCTAATAAATTGCCCTTTTCTATTTCCACTTTTTGCTAACTTATTTTACTTCTTCGTGTCATTTTCATTGATGCCCCTTATTCAGTTTTCATTTGATTCAAGTGTCTGTTTGGGCACATTTCTAAGAAAAAAATTTTCTCCCATTTCTTTCCTAAGTCAACTCGTTTTTTATTTCTCCCTATTTTTCTATTTCTGATTTTAGTTTTTATATCTCAAGGTTGTTTTTCACATCCTCAAATACTTGTTTCAGGATACTTAATTCAGTTTGGAGTATAGACTTATATTCCATGTAGTTTTCTTCTGCTTCATACTTGTATTTTGGGAAGTAGTTTTCCTCAGTTGGTGAGTTGCTTTTCATTTCATAGTTCTCTGTGAACTTTACTTTCCATCTATTTTTATAATGCTGCACGTTTTACAGGACAAGGGAGTCCTTTTTTGTCACTCCAGCAAGATTCAGGTATTTTAGCGGGGCTTTTGTTCAAGGGTGGTGCGTGTGTGTGTGTGTAAGTGGGGTAGATTGTAAGTTCTCGTTTTCTGGTTCTCTTTTGTCTTGCAGAATCCTAAATTTTCCCTTTTTCTCCTTTCTTCCTCACCTGACTGCCAAAGAGTGCTTCTTCCTGTGTGCATTCTTTTTTTCTCCCAGAAGCTATGCATTGTCCCTTTAAGTCACACGTGGCCTTGTAAATCCCACTTGCTCCTCTACCTTGTGACTAGCCTTTTATCTCTCTCTCTCTTAGTTGGTCTGACCTCTCAGCTCCTCTGCCCTGTTTCCTGTCACCTCAGGTCATTGGGGCTGTGATGACTGATGTAGGTGTGTGTGTCCCTTCTAGCCTGCACACATCATGAGGATGGGTGCGTCTGTCACATCCATCTTGCAATACCTTGTGATGCTTGCTTTACATTGACAAACCCACGGGGCTTTATCGTATGCCAGGCCAGTTCTAAGTGCCTGTAGTGTCTCCCTCTCTCAGTGCTCTGACAGCCCTGTATGAGTGTCCCATTCTTCCCCTATTTCACCAGTGAGGATGCCGCCCAGGGTCACACAGCTGGTTGGAGTGGAACAAGTTGCAGGCCAGGCCCTGGTCTCCGTGCTGTCTTCCTGATGAACCAGAGACACACTGGGCCTTGGGTGACAGGCTTGGCCAGCTCCTGCCCCTCCGTGTTGAGTCCTTTATCCGAGGGGTCCCAGGCCCTGGGGAGTGGGCGAGGCTCCTGGAGGACTTGATGAGGACTACATTTTACAGAAGGAACAAAGTCTCAGAGAGGCCGAGCCCTTGCCACAGGCAGAGCTGAGGTTGGGTTAGGGTCCTGTACACAGCCAAGGCCCTGCAGGATTTGCCTCAGGAGAGAAAAGGTGCAGGGATCGTGGGCTACACTTGAGCATTGGTCTTTCTTTAACTTGAGCTGGGGCAGCATCACCTCCCCAGAGTTGGTTGGGACAGCATACAGTGGACCTGGGTGTGTGTCTGATACCCCCAGAAGGGATGGGCAGGGCCGACAGCTGGACAGAGCCATCAGCTGCACAACAAAAGCAGTGTCCAGCAGGAGGTCCCCTCCCTCCAGGCAAGGAGCCAGGAGTGGGTGCGTGTCCTACTGTGGTGGGTCTGGGGTCATCAGGATGGCCTGCCAGATGGAGGTCAGTCAGTCTGTCTGGTTATGCGCCAAGCACGGGCGTCCAGGATGGAAGCGGCTGTGAGCATCAAGGCCCAGGCTCAGGAAGGCACCTTGTCCCACAACACAGATGGTATGGTGAGAGGTATGCTGGGCAAGAAGGAGGCACAGGCACAGTGTGGGGCTGGCAGGGATATGATGGGGAGCACAGCAAAAGTGCAGGCAGAGAAGGGATGGGTCAGACTGGCCTAGAGGTAGGGAGAGGGGCCTAGGTTTTCAGAGGGGCACCGGGGCTTTGGGGAGCCAAGGCTTGGCGGATGGTGAAGGAGGAGCTGCCGGGATCAGGGCCTTAACTGGCATCTCCCCGGGAGGTGACATGAATATGCACTTCACCCCGATGCCAGCAAGGGGCATGAAGGATGTTCACCAAGGAGACAAGTGGACCTCGGTGTCATGATGAGGCCCCGGGTGGACCCAGGGGGCGGGTGAGTGGTATTGAGTCAGGGATGGGATGAGAGGGATGGGATAGGAGGGCTGGGCCCAGAACCTCTAAAACGTAAGCCTGAGCTCGGAGGGTGCCGGGTGAGAAGGACAGCGCGGCTAGGGAGGGGAATGGAATGGTTGGGAGAGCATGGGGGCACTACTCAGGCAGATGTAGGGACACGGGAGGAAGAAGCAGGAGGCTGATGGGCCAGAAAAAGAGCTGAGACCCCAGGACGTGGTGAACTCTGCTCTTAGGAAGCTGGGCTGGACTGGACTCAGGGCAGGAGTCTGAGGTCCAGTAGTCCAACACCCCACAAGTGCGTGAGTCCACCTAAGGAAGGGGTGACTACAGGGCAGGTGGGCATGGTGGGCATGATAAACCTGGCCCCCACAGTACCTCCTGCTGTGGGCCTGTCACCAGGGTGTGAGCTCTTCCCCCTGGTGTGCTCCCCCACCTGCCCTGAACACCAGAATGCTCTGCTCACCACCTGGGTAGGACAGCTTCCTGTGACATCTTCAGAGGCATCTGCCACTCCTCATCCTGCCTCCTCCCTCTGAACCCAGGGCCTTTTCTGGGTCTCATGTGTGCTCGTGTGCCTGCCCCAGCCCTTAACTCATGAGGTCTGACCTAGCTCTGTGTGGTTAGGGTCAGAGGAAGAAGTGCTGCATATGCAGTTGGTGTCAGAAGACAAGTGGACTGAGTCATTCATCTGCCCTGTGAGCTCGGTGTCCTCCCGCCACCTTCCCTGGTCCTCCCATCTGCATGCCAAGAGGGCCCACTGATACTTCCCTCTAGGCTGGAGCCTGGGACTCTGGCCTAGTCCACCTGCTTCTGCACAAGGCCCTCTTGAGGACCCCTCCTCCTCTTCTCCCCCTTACAGGCACACCTGCCCATCTCAGGCTGGCCCAAATGGCTCCCCCTGGGCCCTGACACCCCACATCATGTGATGCTGACCATGGCTGCAGCATGGGCCATCTGCCACTGACCCTCCTCTCCTTTACCAGGTGCCATCCTGGCACCCCATTGATCTGCCCATCTGCCCTCCTACCTCCCTGTGCCCTGGGAGAGAGGCACATGGCTTTGTGTTGGGCAGGGTTCTCCTGACACCATGGGACCTGCAGGGTAGGGTGCACTCAGTTGAAGAAATCCAGCACTTTCATGTATGTGTGTTACACGCCACAAAGACACCTGGGAAAACAGACTGGACCTGGGCTCCTGAGTCAACAGTGGGCTAAACAGAAGGGCACCTGGAGGGCATCTCCGATTCCCATCGTGATCTCTCCCCCAGGAGGAGCCTGCTGCAGAAGTCTCCCACAATCACGCCATGATCCGCACGAGGATATGCACCAGGCCTTGGCGGGGGACCAGGGGCTCCAGACCTTGTGGGTGGGATCAACTAGTTGCAAACTGTGAGGTTGAGTCTCCAGCCCTGGTAACTTGCCTTGGGGGAGCGGAATAAGAGGAAAACCACTGCAGGGGGGACGGCGGTGGACGCAGAGGGCGAGGGCTGAGCTCCAGCCACATTCCCCCTCCCACAGGCATGAGGACTCCCACTTGGGGCGCTGTCATCCATCCCGGTAATCAAAGACAACCGCTGCAAGGGCCCAGACCTGCTGGTGGTGGAGGGCAGACTGACTCCTCAGGATTCTTTGTGCCAAACCAACACACGAGGTGGGGCTGATGAGGGAGAGGAGGGCTCAGGAGTATTGTCTGACAGTGTGGACAAGCCCTGCCAGTCTCCACTTAGATGAGCCGGGCAAGAGGCCCATGTGAGAACCTCGGCCAGTGGCAGGGAGATTACTTCTAGCTACTGAGATAGAAAAAGACACAAGCCTCTTTTATCCAATCAGAAAGAAGGTTCAAACTCAAACCAGTTATGGCAGGCCCTACTAAAGAGGGAGGGGCCTTCAGGGTTCCTGTGGGGTGTGGGGTGTGGTATGTGACAAGACAGTGAGAACCTGAGACAAGGGGGACCTGCAGGGCTCCATATGGGGCAGGGGTGACAGGGCAATGAGAGCCTGTCTTAGAATGGCATCCAGAGGACCCCTCCCCATGCTCACAGTGATGGCCCCCAGGGTGCTCCAGCTCCCACCACCAAGGTGACCCATTCTTGTTAAGCTTTCTTTGCTGTTGTGTTTTGCTTCAAAGCACTGACATCACTGGGCATTGCTGGAACCACAGTCATCTGGAGCAGGGCGTCAAAGAAGCTACAGAGAACAAGACATGTCTTTTGTGTTTTTATTATTCTTTTTTATTTACTGGTCCTACCAACGTGACTCTTTACACAGGCCCCTTGTTCCTATGCACACTGGCTTTGGAAACATTCAAGTCATATGCTTGTGTCCCAAGAATCTCAATTTCTCTTTCCTATTCCTTTTCCATGTTCTGCCTCATTTTTCTCTGCAATTAAAGGCATTTGCTTATTATTTTTTGTTTGTTTGCTTTTTTGTCTAGGTCCGTGTAAAGGTCCCTTGGCAGGAGAACATGCACATGACCTTAAAATAAAGACCAACATTCTGACACTAGGGTAATGCACAGAGAAATACAGTACTCAGACAGCACTGCAAATAAATACCCCATATAGGTGAAGTTAACGCAAATGTAACAATACTTCTTATAAATCAATACTGTAACAGAAGGTAAAAACAGGAGTCCCTACAACTAGGAATAAAAAATGCTTATTCCAGGAAACAGAATTCTTTTATTCTTGTCATTTCTATTGTTATAATTTGTACTTTTTTTTTTTTTCCTTTTTGGAGGAGGGAGGACAGGTTTTTTTCTCCTTCCTCCACAAGTACCAATTTAATCATTCACATGAACCTCAGCAAACAGGGCGGGGATGCAGACCTGCTGACCCGGCTTGCTAAGGAGTGCTGGTGATTTCTGTTTCCTGAAATTAACAGTGATTAGTCACACCAAGCAAGAGAAGATATTAATGTCTCATTTTCACATTTGCAAAGAATACTAAGGTTAACCCTTGTCCACCGCTGTGCGAAGCAAAGAGAGAGCACTGATACTCCTAACACATTCTTGGTTCTTCACAAACGTGTTATTAATACAGCTTGCTTAGTTTGTTCCAGAAAACTCCATTTGGTTCCCAAAGCACACTCAGTGTTTTGTATCTGCTTTCATTTTCTATGCCCCTGAATTTGCAAGGATCTGCAGAGTAAAGAATCACCGACTAACAGAATTTTGTACAATCACTGTTCTCTTTCTCTCAACGGAGATGCCCAGGTAAAGGTATAAAGGTGCACGCTCACCTCACACTTATTGCTTCACACTGGCCGTGAAAATTCCCAACTAGCTCCTCACTGTCCGTTTTAGGGAATAAAGCACTCTGGGACACCTCCCTTAAATGACGAAGGCACTACTGGCAGTGATTACTAACAAAAAGGCGTTGAAATAGAACACCCTAAAAATCGACGACTGTAGAATTTTCTAAGTGTACCACAATTTGGCACAACAACCAGATTAACAAAACAATTCCAATTTGGAATTTCACTGGTACAGTTGTATAAAATCCTGTTAATCAGTCATGCTTCACAATGTCCTAAAACCCAGAAAATTCTGGAATTTGCAGGTAATACTCTCATTCAATAATTTATTATGTTTTTTTTCAAGTGCCTATTACTGTTTTAACCAGAGCAAAGGTCAAGTTTTCTTCTTGTTACATTGAACTATTCCTAAGAATAATAATAATACAATATGAAAAACCCCAGAATCTGAATACCCTGGATTTCTTAATGAACATGGCATTTAAAATCCATAATTTCAAACATGAATTGTAACGCTGTATAATCTAAAAGGCTGCTGACCCACAGGGTGGATCCATTAGCTGAGCTCCTTGCTGGGTCCCAGCCCTCGCCTAAACAGCCTAGAGCTACACACTAAAGACAGCACACACGTTTGCAACGTGCTGACATCCAATCAACAGGTTGAGAGCTAAGACAGTGAGCTATGCAACCATGAGCACACACCACAGCATCTGAGAACCATCTCTACATGAGGAGTGAGGAAGCAAGTATAATATCAAAGTATCAAAAGTGCACAGGTTTATCGGATAAAAAAGGGATGTGGGTAACAAGAGGGGTCCCCGTGGTGTCTCTAGCATGTTCACAACGACCATGGTGGTCACGGTTTGGAGCAGATTCCTCAGCACTTGTAAAAAGGTCTTTCAAGCAGCAGCTCGCAGCATTTTCAACATTAAAGCTCTCATTCTTCCCATTACAAACTTGGGGAACGCTGTTTTGAAAAAAAATTGCAGTGACATATCCAAAGACATTTCTAAGTGGGATTTAGGTTGCCTTTCCTTCCTCCGTGTGGGTGGCCCACACTCCTCCAACTGCAACCACAAGGGGAGGAAAGGAGCTGCAAGGCGACAGGGCCAGGCGGCCGAGTCCTCTCAGCAACTACTCTACAGCTGCAAAGAGGAGAAAACAAGATGCCATTAGAAAACCAGTCACTCATCATGCCTGCTCATCTCACATCTCAAAGTCCTGGGCTGCTGCGAGCATGCAGGGTGAGTTACTCAGCAGAGCAGAAACCTTGGTGTCTGTTAGCTGTGGCCATGCTCTGCAGTGGGGCTAGCCCCGCGCGCTGCATAAGACCCTGACAAGTACTGAAAGAAGCTGCTGCAGCGGCAGACAGAGCCGAGGGTGCAGAGGGGCGTGCGGCGACACATGCAGTGCGGGGAGTCCTGCTCACCAAGGCAGGGGATGTGCAACCTTCCTCAAGGAGGAGAGGCACTCCAAGGCCCACTGGGAGCCCAGGACACCCATGCGGAGGGACACCTGTGGGGCCCACCCCTCCATCATTCCAGGCTGCTGTGGTCATATCCCAAGGCGAAACTTGTCTGCAGCATTTGGAGTTTGGTGGGGACCGAGACACACTCAAGAACCACATGATAGAGTGAAGCAGGGGCAAACACCTTTGTGAGAGAGCGCAAGGCAGTCTCCCATCGGATAGCGTGAAATCCCCTTCCCCCTGACTTCTGACAGGCTAGGAGCCCTTAGGTGAAGAAGGTGCAGCCTCTTGTCTGGCTGACCCCACAGGGTGCTCAGGAAGAGAAATACTGAGAGAGGTTTTACACCAGGAAGTGTAAACCCAGGATGCCCAACACAGCGCAGACAATGCCTCTGCGAACTAATGGAGAGCCACAGGGTCCACAGTGACTTTTCTTGTTTTACGGCCTAACCCCTGCCCACCCCCCACATTGCACTAAATAAAGGAAGCCACACTCCTACCCATGCATCCCGGGACCTGGTCCCACTCAAAGCCTTTGAGAGCAGTCCCAGATGGCTCCTGCCAGGGACTGTGAAGGTCTTTCAACTCAGCTGAGCTCAGGATGCTCAGACTTCAGGCTGTGGGTTCAAAGGCCTGCTTCTCAGGTGTAATGTCACCTGGGAGGAAGTGATGCACTGTGGGTGGGTGAGTGGGCCCAGGGCACTGCAGCCCTATATGCTGGCCTACGGGGAGGGGCAGACGGCAGAGAAACCCACCACCGTACAAAAGGATGGGGCTTCTCACTGGATACAAAGGCCCTGGCTAGGCACTTGGAAAGCTTTCTTCATTAGAATGATGGTCCCTGTCGGCTCCCTTCCTACCCACTTGTAGGCCAAGACAGGTGCAGGCCTCAGATGGGGACGAGCGGCCAAGTCAGGTGTCCTGGGCTAGATCAGCTGTGCCGGGGCTGACACATCCGTTGGTTCCCCAGCCACACATGCATGTCCAGGCCTGGGTGTGCAGAGAGCTCACGGCAGCTCTGGCTCTGGGTTTGGGGTGTAATTCTGCACTTCTGTCGTAAGTGGGATATGCAGTGAGATGTGGCACAGATTACAAAATAGTTCCATAAACCAAGCCATGCATCAAGTTAGCTGCTGCAGTTGCTCCAACTGGGTGGAGGGAGCTGGGGCTCAGGGACAGGACAATTGCATGGCACACGTGCTAGGGCACCAACGTTTCCAACTCAGGCCCTGTGCTCCCCGGCAGGTGCTGAGCAGGGAGACCGGATCAGGACTTCCTTGCCTCGGGTTCTCTCCATGGAGCTTGTGCCGCCAGGAAACCCCTTCCTCATGTCTGTTTTCTGTGGCTCTGCCCCCTCCTCTGCCCCCTACCAAAAGGGCAGCCATTAATAAGGGGAGCATCCTGCAAGCAACGAGAAGACGAAGAGCAGACCCAGAACGGGCCGGAGGGTCCGGCAGGCCAGTGTGCTGTGCCCGTGTGACGCGGTCAGAGACCCTCCCGTGAGAGAGTTAGTTGGGGGCGAAGCGGACAGATGATGCGCAGAGCGTTAGCTGCAGTGTGCGGTGCCCGCAACCCTAATCACAGTAAATGTTATACTTTTCACTGCAGAACACCTGAGTGGAGAGCCCAGACCCCTCGGCCCTGTCACTGGCACAGGCGCAGGTGTGACTTACGCTCGGGGTGCTGGGCTTGGCCTTGGGGGTGGCCTTGGTGCGGCCACGCCGGGCCTGCTCATGGTCCAGCTCGAGCAGCTCCAGCCGCTGGGTCAGGGCCAGCTTCTGCTGGATGGCCATGCGCAGCAGCGAGTTCAGCGTCTTCTTCTCATCCTCAGCGGCCGCCAGCTGCCGCTGCATCTCATCTAGCTGCGTGATGTACTCGTCACACCTGCAGGGCAACGTGAAAGTGCGTGAAGAGGCATGGGCGGGTGGGGTGAGGTCGTTCCCCTGGGCAAGGAGACGAGGGCCCAGGGGGGCAATGACAGAGAAGTGGGCCTCCCTGAGTCACAGAGAAGCAGCAGCAGCAAAGCCGACGCCCAAGTGGGAGGCTGGGGACTGTGGTAGGGAGGGGGGCCCTGTTCCAACTCCTTTTAGCAAAGGCTTCCTGAGCCTGACTGGGCAGGCCTGAGTGCTCCACCCACCTGCCTTGGGGTGTATCTATGGAGGGGTGGTTTCTGCTCACAGCCCAGCCTGGACCTTGTCACTAGTCCTCCCCCATGTGGGAAGACCCCCATAAAGATTTTGCACAAAGCCTCCTGACTGTGGCTGGTGAGAAAGGACTCTTGGGACCCAGACACCACAGCCCTAATGGGTTGGTTGGTTTCATTTTTGTTTTTTAATGGCGGGGGTGGCATGCATTTGACTCAGCCTGCTTTGCTTACTCAGCGAGGTTCTCCACGGAGAGGCTGTTTTCCCCTGAGCGATTTGGCTTTCTCTGGGTGGGGCTCTTTGCAGCAGGTGTTCCCAAAGGGAAGCAGGGGCTGCCCTTCCAGACCTCGTGGTGGCCGAGGAAGCCAACAGAGGCGCTGGTGCCATCAGCGCCATGAAATGGGCACTGTGGCATCCCCTGGCTTTCAAGGTGCAGGTGCAGACTCCAGGGGGCAGGGCTGGGTCCGGTCTCAGCTGCACTGGTGCCTGGCACGGCACTTGCATGCGGTAGCTCTGTGCTGAGTGGACCGCCCAAGCCAACGGTGTGCATGGATGTAGTGGAGTAGATGAGTGGCTCCTGGGTCCCTGCTCAACTTGTGACATATCTGCCCTCCTCCCAACCCCCTGCCTGCATTTGGCCTTGAATGGGCTTTCACACCCCTTGTCCCATGTCGTCTTCATAACTGCACCCAAGACCAGTGACCCCACTGGTGAAGGCAGAGCTGGGCAGCCTGAGCAGAGTGTTTTGCCACAAGAGGTGCCACAGTCAGGAGGTCCCACAGGTACCGGCACAGAAACACCCTGGGCTCTGAGCCTGCCCCACGCCAAGCTGAGCCCGGAGCTGAGCCAGCTGGACAGCCGCTCCTCACACTGCAGGCCCGGCCTGCCGAGCATCCAGCACCCGCGCGCATTCCTCCCACCCCCCCGCACCTCCCCAGGAACGTCCACCCACCCCACAAACGGTGCAGACAGCCCCTTGGGGCCGGAGACTGATCTCAGTCCTCCAGGGAAGGCAAGCAGGTTTGAGATTCTGATGCCATCTGAAAAGTCAGGGGCTATATGTCTTTAAATAAAGGATGTTTAAGGAAGCTGAGGTTTAGGTGTTGATGCTGAAGAACTGTGAACTCTTTTCCCAAGGGCTTGCCTAGACCCCAGAAACAGGAGGAAGCTTCCAAAGAAAGCCTGCAACTTTCTTTCCTTGTCTTCTCCCCCTTGCCTCCCACATACCCGGTTTAGGATAAAATCCAGCTGGTCTCCATTTCGTCCTGGCAGGACCCCCTGTGGCAGGGACACCGAAAAACAGGGATACCCAGCCTCGGGCATGAGGGGAAGCAGGGCCTGAGCCCAGACTCCAATCCTGTCTAACCTCAGGGATTTGATTCTTTACGTGCAAGATGGAACCAGCTACACCAACTCCGGGACCATGGCCAGCAGGGGGCACCATCACTCTTCAGATGGTGAGAAAGAGCGGTCCCCAGCAGAAACGCCCTGAATTAGGATCCTTCTCATGGAGGGGTTCCTAAAGCAGCTCCAACACCTGGGAACTCTTACTGTGCCCAACCTCCTGGTCTAATCTTCCCTAGGTGGGGGTCACAGAGAAACTGCCAGGTCAGAGCAGTGAGCCTGACTGGGCAGGCCTGTGTCCTCCACTCACCCACCGTGGGATGTGTGTATGAGGGGGCTTGCTCACAGCCCACCATGGACCTCGTCACTAAGCTCCCCCTCCATGTGGGGGGACTGCCACCCAGCCAGCCTCGGGGCATGTACCTGCTCACAGCCCACCCTTGACCCCATCACTAAGTGCCTCCATGTGGGAGGACGAAGCTTCTTCCACCAGGGATGTCAGTGGCTGGCCACCAAGGAGATGCTAACTGAAGTCACAGGGAACAGAGCAGAAATTTGCTCCCTTCCACACCTGCTGCTGCCCCTGCCTCCCCACCTCGCCTGCCCCACCAGTCAGCAGCAGCCCTGTGACCTTTTCTAGGGGCTCTGAGGTGGCAGCACACAGCATACAGTCAGCTCTAGCTCCACTGGGTGGCGCAGATGCAGCGCCTCCGCTAGGCCCTGACCAGCCAGCCCGCTGCACTTGGCATGGCCTGGTGCAAGCTCCTCCCGCCGGCTCACCTGGTGGCGAACATGGCACGCAGTGAGGAGAAGGTGGCGGCGTCCTCCTTGAGCGCCTTGAGCTCATTCCGTAGCTTCATCATGGTCTCAGTCACCATCGCCTTCTCATTCTCGTACTTGCTCTTCAGGTTGGCCAGGGCCACCTCGGCTGTCTGCAAGGACAGAGACCACAGGGGGGCAGGCTGAGGAGCCGTGCCAGGCCCTGCCCCACCACAGAGAGGCACTCCTCCGGGTCAGCATGGGGACACATGAGCACGCATGGTGGGGCCCACGTGAATGTGAATGCATCCCTTCTCCTGCAAAGCCTCCTGACCAGACCCTCAGTCCCACTGCAGACTGGTGATGACCCCAAGCTATTCCTGAGACCTCTCACAACACTCCCCACAGCATCAAGACAGAGCGGTAGGCACGGTTTCTCTACGGAGCCCCAGTATGGGATAACCACAAACAGCGCTGCTCTGGTTATGTGGAGGTCCCACTGAAGCCTGCCCCCTACCAACTCTCCTGGCTGGAGGTCCTGAGTGCCTCCTGGGGGTCGTGGGCTCCCACAGAACCAGTGTGGAAGATGCTGTGTCAGGGATCCTGGTCTGGAGGGGTACACGCTCCAGCTTGGGGACAGGTGTATGGCCGAAGAGGCCTGACCGGGCAGGGCAGTGGCAGGGTCAGGGTGGAGCCAGCACCAAGGGCGGGAAGACAAGAGATGAAGGCGAAATGCCAACTCAGGCCATCAGCCATCCAGCCCAGCTTCCCTGGGGACTAGAGCCCAAACCCTGGAAGCCACACAGAGCCCTGGGCTTGGAGCTCTGGGGAGAAGCTCTGTCCCACTCCTATCCCTGTCCCTCCAGGGTGCTGAGCCCCCAGCCCCCAGCCCCAGACTCTGCCCCCCATGCATCCAGCCACCCCAGGCCTTGGTCCCCCAGGCTCCACCCCCACGCCCCCAGTTCTCCCAGACCCCCGCCCCCCAGGCTCTGGGCCTGGCCAGCTGGCTCACCTGCTTGTTGGCCTTGAGCACGGTCCGTAGCGTGGTGATCTGCTCGCGCTTGGTGCTAAGCAGCGACTTGAGCTTTAGGATCTCCTCCATCAGCGCCTCCTTGTCCTTATCCACAGCAGGGCCCAGCTCTTGCGAGGCGATGCGCTGCCGCGACAGCTCAGTAGTGCGGTCCACGGCGGCCTGCAGGTGCTTGATCTGGTCACGGATAATGGCGATCAGGTTGTAGATGTTCATGGGCTCGCGGCGTGGGTCGCTCAGGGGTGATGGAAGCGAGGAGCTGGGTGAGGGGCTGTTCTCCCCGCTCCCACCCTCTGCTCTGCCCAGCTCCGCAGCCAGCAGCCCCTTGGGCAGGAGGACGGGAGAGCGGTGGCCTCGGCCTTCAGGGCTGGCACGGCCAGCCCCGCCCTGGCCCTCGCGGTAGTAGTCCAGCATAACACGGTTGGGTGTCTCGTTGTTGCACATGCACACGTGATGGTAGAGATTGGCCAGCTCCTCGCTGAAAGTCACCAGCTCATCCTGGGCCACGCTCAGGCTGCCCTGCGTCTCGCCGGCCACGTCACTCACTTTCTTGAGTTCCTTCTCTAGCCGAGCCAGCAGGTCGCGGTCCTGGCGGCTGGCCTTTTCTAGCAAGGCGAGCTTCTCCATGAGCACCTGGCCCTCAGCTTCATGGCGGCTCTTCTCCTCGGCGTGCTGGGCCTCGCTGGCTTCGTGCAGGCTACGCAGTGCCTTCAGCTCTTCCCGTAGCTCGCCCGCCTCAGCCACGGCCACGTGGTACTTGCAGGCCAGAATCTCGGGCCCGTTGATGTCCACCTCATAGTAGTCGCCGTCCTCATGGCTGTCCCGGTCCTTCTCGTTGTCCAGGGCTGTCTGCCGCTCCTTGCCAGCCTGCAGGCGCCGCAGGGCACTCAGGTTCTCTGTGAGCCGGCTCACCTTCTCGTGCTGCTCCGACAGGGCCCCACGCGCCTGCTCCAGCTGCTTCTGTGTGTCCTGCAGTGTTGCCAGCAGGTTCACCTTCTCCCGCTCCATCTGCAGAGGCACAAGCACAAGGAAGTCAGCAGCTGGCGAAGGGCCCACCTTGATGCAGTGATCACCATCCTGCCTGACACCACGTGTTGGCCGTGGGCCTTGTAGTCCTTAACCACCTGGGCCTCCGTCGACCATCTGTGAAGTGGAATGTGGATGAACTGCTCATGTGAACCCTCAGAACCGTCCTGTGCCAGAACCAACTCTCACAACCATGCAGGAAGGAAGTGCTGCCCCTACCCTTACTTTGCAGCTGGAGCAACTGAGGCTGAGGTGCCAGGTGACTTGTCCAAAGTCATGTGGGCAGAAGGTGGTGGACTGGGACTCAGAGCCTGGCTTCACAGCTGCTCCAAGCCAATGTGAAGTGAGCACCACTCTGAGCTCGGTGGGACCCAGGCGCCTCTGTGCCACCACCCTGCATGGCCCATGCTCCAGAGTCCTGGGATGCTGGGCTCAAGAGGCTGAGGTCCCAGGCCTGCTGGCTGGAAGGTAGATCCTACTGCTCAGCACTCAGCACCCCAAGGATGGGGACTGCCTGTCCTTGTCCCCGGTGCCCTGGGGACATGCAACAGACATTTGTGGATTCTCCATAAAAGGAAAAGCCCGTCTTCCAGGAGACAAGTTCATGAAGACCCCAGATGTGTCACCCCTGTGGCCTGTGTTGTTGTGTGTAAAGTGCTGTGTGGGGTATCGCATAGAGGACTAGCTCTGCATCATTTCACAGACTGGCTCTCTACCTTATCCTGGGTCTCCGTGCTCACCATGGTGGGAGAGCCCCGCCTCTGCCTGCCCCTCGGGGCCTGCAGCACCTGCAGCAGGCTGGAGGCTCTGAGACTCCCACAGTGAGACACCAGGGGAGCTTCATCTGAGAATAAAGTCCTCACACGACCCTTCCGTCCCACGGTCATGACATGTGCCCCATGGCAGTACATGAGAGAACCTCAACGTAGTGATCAGAACCTTCCTTCTCTGGTTATCTTCTGTCTGTAATATGGGTGCTGCACTTAGGTGACAATGCAGAATTTAAAATGAATTTAAGTAGAAGGTATATCAACATAAAGTGTTGCATGCATACTGTTCAGGGACGTGTAAATGTGGGATAGGGCTGGAGGTGGGGAAACCCAAGCCAGAACCTTCTGAGTCCCAGGACTCTGTGACAGGGGCCTTGTGTGGGGTGGGGATGTGGGCCAGGGGCCCCCACATGGCCAGTCCTGGCATGGCCACACCCTCACCTGCATCAGCTGCTGTTTCAGTTTCTGGATCTCAGAGATGTTCAGCTCACTGAGGAGGTCAGAGACCAGGCTGGGCGACGGTGGTGGGAGCCCATCCTTCCTGGGTGTGGAGGTCTTGTTGTCAAGCGGCAGCTTGGCCAGGCCATGTTCCAGGCCATTGACCAGGGCCTCGGCGTCGTTGTTAGGCTCTGTGGTGGCAGCAGCAGCATCATCGCTGAACTTGAGGCCGTCCAGGGAGACGTGCAGGTGGCTGGTGTAGAGGGAGTCATTGATGCTCATGTAGTGCGACAGCTCTTTGCGCAGGCTGTTCTTCTGCTCCCGCTCTGTCTTCAGCGTCTCCAGTGCCTCTTCCAGCTGCCTCTCTGAGATCTCCTTGAGCCGGATGGCGTCTTCTAGTTGGCTGTTTAGATACTCGGTCTCTTCCTCCAGCCGCTTAATCTCATGCTTGAGGCCCTCGAATTCCACCTGAGAAAGGGAATTCAAAGAACTCACAAGTCAGGCAAGCCCTTTATGCCAAGCAAATCAGCAAAAAGTTTCAAACCGCTCACTCCCACTGCTGAGCAGCAGAAGGCCAAACCCAGGCCTACTGGCTGGAAGGGGATGGCAGGCTGTAAGGGTGAGGGCCCACCCATCATCTTCACTGTCATCACAGGAGGGACACGGAGTGGCTCTGCCTCAAGGGCTGTTGAGGCAGGGGAGGGGAGAGTGTTTGTGAGACACGAGCAACACAAAAGTGCCAGACACTCACCCAGCACCTGTGCAGGAAGGGCCTTGGCACAAGTGACACGTAGCTATGCTTTAAAATGTACATCGTTTTTATTTAAGTGTAATTATACAAGTGTATAATTATTTTAAACGGTATAAAAAATTTTAATTAACATTAAGCTATTTAAATATTCTTAAATACATTGAATACATACTTACACACTCACTAGGACCAATCTAAGTATATTTCAAATTGGAAGGAACCGAGACCCACAAGGCAGTCGGAGCCAAGCATGGAACAAGAGCAGTCACTGGCCTGTACTCACAAGCAACACACATGACAGCCATACCCCAGAAGCACTAGTGTTAAGGGGGTAACAGCAGAATCCAAAATTGCATCTATGTGAAATTACATGCTTAGGACAAACTGGACCTCAGGTCACAGCCAGAGGTGACACGTCTTCTCTGGCAGGTCCCTGAGACTTGGCTGGCCACAGCCCCCATAGTGAGGAGCAGATAGCCCCACCGTACTCCTCAAGGCCCACCCCTCTCCTCCACTAACTTTCCCTCCCTTGATTCCTTGAGAATCTCCTATTGCTCCCCTAAGCATGGAGGCTACACTAGGCTCAGAGCAGGGAAACAGCACATGAAACCACAGGTGAAGGAGAAGGTACAGCTGGGTGGAGCCCATGTCTCATGCAGCAAAATAAGGCACAGAGGGGCGAGAGGGACCACCAGAAAGCTCAAAGGTCCCAGCTGCACCGGGGCTTGAGGACACCCCTGTGAAGTCCCTCTGGTCAGCACTGTAGATGGGGACAGAGCCTGGAGGTCTAGCTTCCAGGGTGTCTGGTGTGATCTCTTGTGATTTGCTCGGACCACAGCTGCAGGCTGGCCAATGACTGCCAGAGGTCTTGCCCCTCAGGGGTCCTGGGCCTGGGCCCTGGCCACGAGAGGGTCCACCACTCTTGCTGGTATGTAGGGCGAGACAGGGTGTCTTAGTTATCTAGTGCTGCTATAACAGAAATACCACAAGTGGATGGCTTTAACGAACAGAAATGTATTCTCTCACAGTCTAGGAGGCTACAAGTCCAAATTCAGGTCACCAGCCCAGGAGAAGGCTTTCTTTCTCTGTGGGTTCTGGGGGAAGGTCCTTGTCATCAATCTTCCCCTGGTTAAGGAGCTTCTTAGAGCAAGTACCCCAGGTCCAAATGACGTGCTCTGCTCCCAGCATGCGGTACCAATCTCTTTGCTCGCTTCTCTCTCCTTTTATCTCTTATAAGATAACAGGTGATGCAGGTCACACCCCAGGGAACCTCCCCTTACACAGCCATCAGGGCTGTGACCTGAGTAAGTAGGTTGCATCTCACCCTAATCCTCTTTAATATAGCCTAATCTTGCCTCATTATCCACAGGCAGAGATTAGAATTTACAACACACAGGACAATTACATCAGATCACAAATGGAAGACAACCATATTTGACACATATTTTTGGGGGACACAATTCAATCCATGACACAGGGGAACACACCTTCCCAACGTGGGAAGGCAGGAAGAGGTGGGCCACAGACTCACCTGGTTTTGCCTGAGCACAGACACCTGCTTCTGTAGGCAGATGTTCTCCTCCTCCAGCTCCGAGTAGTCCTGCAGCAGGCGGGCCTCCCGGAACTTGTATTCCTTGATGTCATCCCGCAGGCGGCCTCGCTGGATCTCCACATTCTGGTTGATCTGTTGGGGAGAGAGAAAGGTGGGCATGAGTATCCACCACTTGGCACAGAGGGGAGGTGAGGCCCTGAGTGGCCAGACACACTGTGTACCGTCGGCTGCACTGCCAGGACCCAGGAGTCTGGACCTGCGGCGCCCAATGTGGACATCCCATAGGGGAGGGAAGCCCAGGGAGTTAGGAGTCTGCACCTGCGGCACCCAATGTGGACATCCCGTAGGGGAGGGGAGCCCAGGGAGTTGGGAGTAGGCAGCAAAGGGCCTGGAGGCAGACAGACCTCAGTCCAATACCCTGCTCAGCCACTTGGCAGCATGGAACCTCCAGCAAGTGACTCAAGCCTGCTCTGACCCTCTATTTCTTCATCTGTAAAGTGGAATTTAAAATAGTTCCTCCCTCATACACTGTAGGTGGGAATGTAAAACGGTGCAGCTGCTGTGGAAAACAGTCTCCCGGGTCCCTGAAAAGTTAAATTTCCGCATGTAGAATTTCCATGTGATTTAGCAATTCCACTCCTAGGTATACACCAAGAAAATAGAAGACATGTGTTCACACAAAACTTGTACACAAAAGGTTCACAGAAGCATTATTCAAGATAGTCTAAAATGGGAAACAACCTAAATGTCCATGAATGAATGAATGGCTAAGCACAATGTGGTATACACATAACGGAGTATTATTCAGCCACAGAAAGGCATGCTGATGACACACGCTATGACATGTGACATGTTACAACCTTAAAAACATGATGTGTGAAAGAAGCCAGATACAAAAGGACAAATATTGTATGATTCCATATATAAAAGGTCCAGAATAGGTGAATCCACTGAGACAGAGAGAAGATTAGTGGTTGTGTAGGGCAAAGCTGGTGGGAGGAGATGGGGAGTGCCTGCTAATGGACACAGGGTTTCTTTTTGGAGTGATGAAATGCCATTGAATTGTATACTTTCAATGGGTGGGTTGCTTGGGATGTGGTTCGCCTCAATAAACTTGTTATGCAGTTCCTGCCTCATGGCTGCTTGTGAAGATGCAGCAATATACTACTCAAGGCAAGAGACCAGTGCTGGAATCAAAAACGCCCGCTGCTGCTATGCACCCTGTGCTAGGGACTTGGGTCCCAACCTTGGCGCTGTGACATTCGGGGCTGGGTAATTTATCATACTAATTCAATCTGTATGCTGAGGAAATAATTTGAGAAGCTGGACTACATGAAGAGGAGCGTGGCATCAGGGTTGGAGGAAGACTCATTAACAACCTGAGATATGCAGATGACACAACCTTGCCTGCTGAAAGTGAAGAGAACTTGAAGTGCTTACTGATGAAGATCAAAGATTACAGCCTTCAGTATGGATTACACCTCAGCATAAAGAAAAGAAAAATCCTCACAACTGGACCAATAAGCAACATCACGAAAAATGGAGAAAAGATTGAAGCTGTCAAGGATTTCATTTTACTTGGATCCACAATCAATGCCCATGGAAGCAGCAGTCAAG